CTGCTTACTCTCGTGTGCTTTGCCAACATTTACCAGTGAAGAGGTCTCTGTGCTAGCTGCACTTCATCCTGGGGAGTGGAGAGAGCTCTATTCCTTTACCCTTGTTCCCAAGAGGACTTTTTTCCAAATTTAAGACTCAATGCTGCCTAGCTAACTTCTTGGTTGTTACTAAGTCCTATAACAATTGTGGCGCCTCTCTTTTTTGGTATGTCTAAGATATTATGTAAATTATGAACCACCACTAAAGAGGAGCTTGTAGGATCTGGGTTTCAGGGAGGAGAAGGCTGTTTCTTTGGATGTTGGTGCTAAAGACATAGCAATATGTCTTTAACTATTGACACATAGCTTAGACACACTTTTGGTAGGCTGTATCTTTCCGAGTCAGGTGGGTGTTAGTGTTTTTATGTTTGCATGCATGTGGAGCACCTTCAGGACAATGATGGGGTGCTGTGAGGAACTGCAATCCAGCAAGAAGAAATAGCTCTGGAGGCAAAGATTTTTGTCCGTTTGGCCTATTGCTTTATCCCTTGTGCTAAAACAATTCTTAGGACACAGTAGGCACTCAGTAAAATCTGTGGTATGGATGACCTTGTAAAGGTGGGAGATAGGTGTGAATGTGGCTACACTTGAAATGAGGGCAACTCAGTGTAAGGAGGCTTGGAGTTCGAGGGGCAGTGGTGAAGGGAGGAATTTGAAAGATTGAAATGGAGCTGGTGAACATGTTAAGTCCTTTGAGCTTTATATCAGGGGCAACAGAGTTTTTAAATTATAAGAGATTTTAAGCAGCAGAGTGACTTAAGCAGACTCACATTTTAGAAATCATTCTGGCTACAGAATAGAGACCAGTTAGGAGGCTGTTGGAAAACGCTTGGAGAGAGATGCGAGTGACCCTAACTTGGTGGAGAAGCAGGCATGGAGAGAGATAAGGATAATTTAGAATCATCCATTTACAAACTGAAAGAAAGCTTAGGCAGCTCGTCTAATTTTTTAGATGAAGAATCTGAGGCCATAGAGGATTAATTGACTTACTCCTTTAATGGTTTTCTTTCACTTCTTCCTTTGTTTGTTCGGTATTTCTTAGGACATTTCTCAGAATTGCCCAATTAAGACCTTCATCCCATCACACCTGAACAATTTACTTAACTTAATTTTGCTTTTGTCTAATGTATTGGTCCATTGGTTTGTATCACCTGCTCCTGGAGTCAGAGAAGACTGCTCATTAATTTGCTCTGTAGAGCAGCACTCACAAACAGATCACCAACACTGCTCCATGTCATGCTACGTAAGGAGGAAAAATGTATATTTCACAAATGGAGGATGCAGGAAGTCTTTCCCAGTTACATATTTCTGGAAAAGTCTTTGGACAGTTTCAAGCAAAGCTGCAGAAATCAGCAAACTACAGGCTCAGGATAGACTTTCCAAGTCAGGTTTTTAATTTTTTTGTGTGTAATATGAAAGAGAGATAGCCAAAACACTTCCAGAATGAAAACCATAGAAGTCAATAGCAGGGCCCTTAGGCACTGGCTGCAAAAGGGCTCTAGATAGTCCTGATAGCAACAGGCCTCACGGTTGTACAGTTCTGAAGCCGCCGGTCCTCACCATTAATCAAAATGGCCAAAACTGCAGATGCTTGATACACATGATATAATAATATTCTAAAATAAATTCAGCTTGAATGATACACTGCCACACCCTCTCAGTTAGAAATATTTAAGTCTGTCTGATGAAGTGGTAGGGTGGACCTGACTGAATTTAATTTAACAGAGCCTCTGGCGAGGACCTAAGGGGAAGAAAGATCTCAATAGTGGGGCCTCCCCATGCAAACTTCATAAAAACTGAGTGGATGTGTTCTGAATCATTAGTCACCAGGGAAATGCAGATTGAAAACACAATAAGATACCATTTCACATCCACTAGAATGGCTAAAATTAAAAGCTGACATTACCAAATGTGAAACTACTGGAACCCTCATCCTCTTACATTGGGAGTGCGAAATGGTACAATCTCATTAGAAAACAGTATGATAATTTCTAAAAACAAATTTAAACATCTGCCCTGTGATTCAGCAATTCCTCCCCTAAGTATTTGCCCATGAGAAATGAAAACATGTGCCCACAAAGGGACTTGTGCAAGAATGTTTAGAGCTGCTTTTTTATTCATAATAACCTCAAATTAGAAATAATCCTAATATTCAACAGATTGTTGTATATTCATACAATGGAACACTACCCAGCAACAACAAAAAAAATGAACTCTTCTAATTGCACAACATGATGCACTCACAAATAATCTGCTAGGTGAAAGAGGCCAGACTCAAAAGCCTACACCTTACATAATTCCATTTATGTGACTTTTTAGGACAGGCTTAATTAATCCATAGTGATGGAAATCAGCATAGTGATTGCCTATAGAAATGGGTGGGAGTTGATAAAAGGGGGCACAAGAGAACTTTCTGGGGTCACAGAAATGTTCAGTATCTTGATTTAAGTGGTGATTAAGTGGGTATATACATTTACCAAAATTCTTTCAATTGCACATTTAAGATCTGTATATTTTACTGTATGTAATTTTTTGGAAAAAAGTCATTTTTTATTAAGACTATAAATTGTTTATACAAATAGCATATTATAAAGAGAGTACTGTTAAACAAATGAATTCTAAACTGGGCAGCAAT